AAAAAAAAAAAAAAAAAAAGAAAAAAAAAGTTTTTTCAGGCCCTGCCGGAGATTCAGCTCAGGCATCAGAGTGCTTGTCTTAGCCTTGTAGTAGGCTGCGGGTCTGTTCCTAGCACTGTAGAAAACCTGGTGTGCTCACACACACTGTAATCCCAGGTAGGAAGTTCAGAAGTTTAAGGCAGCGTGGAGCCAGCCTGAGCTACAAGAGACCCTTTCTAATAAACAAATATGTAAGACCTTGGGACAATCAAGGATGTGTCTCAGTGGCAAAGAATTTGCCAAGTGTAGTGAGATCCTACCTCGTTCAATCTCTAAAGGATAACAGGGTAGATCTGGGACATGATAGGGCAAGGAATAGAGGAATATGATCAAAATATGTTGTGTGCATGTGTGCAATTTGTAAAACATTAAGGAAAATATTTTTAAATAATAAATAAACTATTTAGGTGTGGTGGCACACATTTTTTTTTTTTTTGAGACAGGGTTTTTCTGTGTAGTTTTGCGCCTTTCCTGGAAGTCCTCTGTATACCTGCCTGGCCTTGAACTCAAAGATCCGCCTACCTCTGCCTCACAAATGCTGCGATTAAAGGCGTGCGCCACCACCGCCCAACCACACATCTTTAATAGCATCACTCAGGAGGCAGAGAGGGGTGGATCTCTGCAAATTTCAGACCATTCTGGTCTACACAGCAAGTTCCAGGGTATCCAGGGCTGCATAGAGAGACTCTGACTCAGAGGGGCAATGGTGTCTCATGCATTTAATCTTAGCTTCTTGGAGGCAGAGGCAGGAGGATCTCTGTGAGTTCAAGCTTAGCCTGGTCTACAGAGGAAGTTCCAGGACAGCTAGGGCTGTTACACAGAGACATCCTGTCGAAAAACAAAACAAGCCAGGCGGCGGCGGCGGCGGCGGCGGCGGCGGCGGCGGCGGCGGCGGCGGCGGCGCACACCTTTAATGGCAGCACTTCGGTGGCAGAGGCAGGGGGATCTCTGTGAGTTCGATCCTGGTCTACAAAGTGAGTTCCAGGAAAGGCACCAAACTACAGAGAGAGAGGGAGGGGGAGGAGAGAGAGAGAGAAAGAGAGAGAGAAAGAGAGTTTCTGTCTCAAAAATAAATAAAGGATAAAAAAAATTAAGAAAATAAATGAGTAGGCATGCCTAGTTCTCAGGTCATGGAATTGGTCTACATGCTCCTGCCATGATAATGGACTAAACCTCTGACATTGTGAGCAAGCTCCCAGTTCAATGCTTTCTTATGGTGTCTTTTCTCAGCAGGAGAACACTAAGTCACTTGGCTTTTGTTTTGTTTTGTTTTTCTCCTGTGCCTTTGTTTACTGTAAATATGTCTTAAAATGTTTTATAGTGGAAAAATACTTATTTTAAATTCTTTGGGTTTTTCTTGTGTTGTTTTTTTTGTTTTTTTTGTTTTTTTTTCAAGACAGGGTTTCTCTGTGTAGTTTTGGTGTCTGTCCGGGATCTTGCTCTGCTGGCCAGGCTAGCCTTGAACTCACAGAGGTCCACTTGGCTCTGCCTCCTGAGTGCTGGGATTAAAGATGTGCACCATCACCACCCGGCTGTCATTTTATTTCTTTATTTTGTGTGCATAATGAGGGTAGGGACAGGTGTACCAAAAGGGCATGTGGTCTGAAGACCACATTTGGGGAGGCTGTTCTCTCCTTCCACATATGGGTTGTCCTGGCGATCCATCTCAGGTCATGGTTAGCAGGATGCTCCTTTACATGCTGAGCCTGTTAAAGGGTCCTGAATTAAATCACTCTCTCTCTTTTTAAAAAAGATTTATCCTTATTTCATGTATAATTCTTGTATAGTTTCCAAAATCTGTAATTTACCATTATATGGACAGTATCTTGTTAGCTGATTTAAAGGTAGATACTTTAGAAATAATGTAAAAGAATTAGAGCTTTGCCTAGCTGGGGATTTTAAATTGCTCCTTAAAAAATACAGAAGAGATTCTATTAATTACTTAGGGTATAAAATACTTGTACAAAAAATTAGACCCAAGAGGTATAAATCAGGAGAGATCACTTGCGGATTCTTAATGACCTTTAACTAATGAGAAAGTTTTCTCTTTATGGAAAGATAACAAATACTGTCAAAGAGCTTGCAGTAATTTTGGGGGGACAGATTAACAACAGTTATCCCAAAAGCAAGAGAATTAAATTCATAAAAAGAACCATAAAGTGGTGCCACAGGCCTTTAATCCCAGCACTCAGGAGGCAGAGCCAAGCAGATCTCTATGAGTTCAAGGCCAGCCTGGTCTACAGAGTGAGATCCAGGACAGGCACCAAAACTACACAGAGAAACCCTGTCTCCCGGGGGAAGAGGGGAAAGACCAGTTTGGTCCTTCAACACATTGTACAGAGAAACCAATCTCTGGAGTCTCAATATGCTATATAGATGCTAATAAAGCAGGAAAGGAGGGATATAAATCTGGAGATTTAAGTAAAGTGGTTCAAAGCCATTATGATTCTGTATAAAAAGCAGAACTGTATGCCATTCTGATGGTACTAATGGACTTTACAGAACCTCTCAATATAGTTACTTACTCTCAATATGCAGAAAGAGTTGTTTTACATATTGAAACTGCTAAATTTATTTCTGATAAAATCAAAACTGCTAAATGTATTCCTGATAAAACAGAATTAACTTTGTTATTTATACAATTGCAGGAAATAGTCAGGAATAAAAAACATCCTATACATATATAACACATATCAGATCCCATATGGGTCTGCCAGGTCCTCTAGCATAAGGTAATTATGAAATTGATTGATTATTAATAGGAAATATGCTGGAGACCTCAGAATTTCACAAAAAAATTGTCAAAAACAAAGGCTTAAAAAGGGATTTTTCTATCACTTGGCAACAAGCCAAGGAAATTGTAAAAGAAGTCCTACTTTCTATAACCAAACTTCATTACCTGCAGGAAATAATCCTAAAGGTATATAAAGAAATGACATTTGGCAAATGGATGTGTTTAATTTTGCAGAATTTAGAAAATTAAAATATGTATATGTACTCTAGATACATTTTCAGAATTTCAATGGGCAACTGCTTTCAGTTCTGCAAAGGCTGGTTTTGTAATTACACACCTATTAGGAGTCATGGCCATAATAGGTTTACCTGTACAAATTAAGACTGACAATGCTCCGGCATATGTCTCCAGTAAAGTAAAAATTTTTTGAATATTATAATATAAAGCATATTTCAGGTGTACCACACAATGCTACAGGACAATCGGTTGTAGAAAGATCTAATCGCACTTTAAAAGAAATGCTTAATAAACAGAATGGGGGATAGATTGCATAGTGTCTTAATAACCTTGAATTTTCTTAATGATAATGAGAAAGGAACAACAGCTGTGGAGAGACACTGCATAGTAGAAAAAAATTACTGAGTTAAATCAGCCTGTGTTCTTTAAAGACGTGCTGACCTCAGAATGGAAACCAGGATATGTGTTAATCTGGGGGAGGGTTTTTGCTTTTGTTTCCATAGGAGAAAAAGCTATGGATGCCAACAAAATTGGTAAAGATTCTGTTCAAACAGCAGAAAGTTCCTGACAGTTCTACAACTTGTAAGGAAAACTCACTAAACAAGGGTCAGCGCAGTGTTCTGTTTGTTGTCTCTGCAGGATAATAGAAATACCCATCTTCCAGAAGTCAAAAGACCTTGGATGTCTGACAATTAGAAAAGAAGGGAAAACGTCTAAGAAAAATTTACAAGCAAAGAAAAATGATACTCTGACCTAATGATATCAATATTCTCTACAAGGTAAAAATCTTACTACCTAAACATCCATATTTCCTTACTTCTAGAAAAGGTGTAGTCATGAGTTAATTATAATCAAAGCTGGCTTTGAAGTTGGAGTGTGGCTCTCTTCTCTAAATCCAAACATGTTGTTAAAAGAAAAAATTAAGAGTTTCTGTCTCGAGCGCCTGTGTGGCATGGGCAGGGGTCTCCATGACGGGTAAGGTGACCTGCTGATGTCCCATGCAACCTAAGGCAGAAGCTCATTTATTAGTAAAAGGGGGACCTGTAGGTCCCTGGCTCCCGATTTGGGTAACTGTTGCCTTGCTTGCTGACTTTGACCCTTGATATCCTCCCTATGCTAATTCCCTGCCGGGTTCCACCCTCCTGAATGCTTAAGGGAAGTTCCTTGTTTGTGCATCCTACATAATGGGTGTTAACAGCTTAGATGCAAGATTGTAAAACATCGATAGCAAACTTCTGCCCTCCAGAGTTCTCCCATTGTGCTGTAAGCCTGTATTTAAGACCTCCTCACAGCCGGGCGGTAGTGGTGCACGCCTTTAATCCCAGCACTCCGGATGCAGAGGCAGGTGGATCTCTGAGTTCGAGGCCAGCCTGGTCTACAGAGCAAGTTCCAGGACAGCCAGGGCTGTCACACAGAGAAACCCTGTCTTGAAAAACAAAACAAAAGGATATTACAGAGGATGCAATGAAGAGATGGATAGGACAACCTTCAGGGGTGCTGAGTCTCCATACCCTCTCTGGGGACAACTTTCTCCATGATTTCAGCATCCTCCAAGGAGCACATCTCTGGTTTTCTAAATTCATTCTTAGAAATATTTATGTCTAGGGCTGGAGAAAAGGTCAAGAGGTTAAGAACACGGGCTGCTCTTCCAGAGGACCCTGGTCTATGTCTCAGCACCCACATGATGTCTTACAACCACCTGTAATCCAGTTCTCCTGGGAGATATTCAGGCAAAAAAAAAAAACACAAATGCATGAAATAAAGAAAAAATTTCTTAGAGATTGAGAGAGAGAGAGAGATATTTATTTCTGGCCATTGATTGTCACAGTGTGTAAAGGAGCATGCTTCGAACAATGCCTGAGTTGGATCCCCGGGACCCCTATGGTGTAAGGAGAGAACCGGATCCTAAAAGTTGTCATGTGTTGGCATGCCCATTTGGCACATTTTCCCTTACCCCATCCTACACACAAAATTAGAAAGAAAATAGAATTTTAAAAAGTGGGTTTTTTTTTTTGAGACAGCGTCTTTTCTGTGTAGCTTTGGTGCCTGCCCTGGATCTCGCTCTGTAGACCAGGCTGGCCTCAAACTCACAGATCTGCCTGGCTCTGGCTCTCGAGTGCTGAGATTAAAGGCGTGTACCACTGCCACCTGGCTTAGAAGGATTTTTTTAAATTAATTTATTTTTATTTTATCTGCATTGATGTTTTGCCTGCAGGTCAGATCTTTGAGTTCCAGACAGTTGTTAGCTGCCATCGGGGTGCTGGGATTTGAACCCAGGTCCTCTGGGAGAGCAGAGCAGTCAGTGCCCTTAACCACTGAGCCATCTTTCCAACACCCAGAATGAAATTTTCAATAGAATATTTTTTTCCAAATAAACCATTTTAAGACTCATTTTCAGTAAAACAAAGCCACAGGAGAAAAACAAAACAAAACAAAACAAAAGCCAAGTGACTTAGTGTTCTCCTGCTGAGAAAAGACACCAGAAGAAAGCATTGAACTGGGAGCTTGCTCACAATGTCAGAGGTTTAGTCCATTATCATGGCAGGAGCATGCAGACCTAGTCCATGACCTGAGAACTAGCCACGCCTACTCATTTATTTTATTAATTTTATTTTTGAGACAGGGCCTCTGTCTTTTAGTTTCAGTTTTGTTTTGTTTTTAGAGAAGATTTCTCTGTTTTAAAGCTCTGGCTGTTCTGGCCTCATACTCACAGAGATCCTCCTGCCTCTGCCCCTGAGGTGCTGAGATCAAAGGCCTCAGCCAGCACTGCCCTGCTGAGACAACTGTGTTTATATAGCCTTCAGTACTCTGAATCCTGCTCTGTAGACCAGGCTGTCTGGATTTTGCATAGATCCACTTGTCTCTGCTTCCTGAGTGCTGCTATTAAAGGTGTCTGCCACCACCCCTAGGTATTTTTTATCATTTAGACATATTTTTCATTATTGTTTTACAAATTCCATACATACACACAACATATTTTGATCATATTCCTCTATTCCTTGCCCTAACTTGTTCCATATCCACCCTGTTATCCTCTAGAGATTGAACGAGGTAGGGCCTCACTACTCTTGGCAAATGCTTTGCCACTGAGACACATCCTTGGTTGTCCCAAGGTCTTATATATTTGTTTATTAGAAATGGTCTTTTGTAGTACAGGCTGGCTCCAAGCTGCCTTAAACTCCTGATCCTCCTACCTGGGATTACAGTGTGTGTCAATGCACCCGGTTTTCTCCAGTGCTAGGTACAGACCCGCAGCCTACTGCAAGGCTAAGCAAGCACTCGGACTCTGAACTGCATCCCCAGCCGAGGCTGATAAAATTCTTCATTCATTTTCTAAGTTTGAGACATGATCTCACTAAATTTCCTCATCTCGCCTTACTCTCACTCAGGAGGTCAGGCAAGCCTGTACTTTTATCATTCTCCTGCCTCATCCTACCCCACTAGCTGATATTGTGGTAAGCCCTAAAACACTTTGCCCATACAGCTGCCATGACGACACAGCTTCTAGCAGGCAACACCTGGACCTGGAAAAGCTATAAGCTGACCCCAACCAGTGGGGCCTGCATCTAAGAGGAAATACCTGACATTCCAAACATTCCTATATACCTAGACAAATGTCAGCCAATCAGGGTCCTAAACTCTGGAAATCCCCTCGCCCCAACCTCTGCTGTGATAAAAGCCCCACCCTGCCTGACTCTAGGTTCTCTGCTCTCACCTCCAACTCTGACAGACAGAGACATCAAACCCCGGAACTTAAAATTACAAAGTCATGAAAATAGGGGTTCGGGATTTAACTCAGTGGTAGAGCCCTTGCCTAGCAAGCACAAGACCCTGGGTTTGGTCCTCAGCTCCAAAAAGAAAAAAAGAAAATAAAGGGTCTTTGCTTTTACATACCGGATATTGTCTCTGTGGTGGTCTTTTGGGGGTCCCCACAATCTGGGCATAGCAGTATCACAGGCCTACAGGACCACACCCGGGAAGTTTAATAAATTCATGCCCTCCCTGTGGCAGTCCTAGTGTTAAACTGTAATTTAATCTCAGGACGTTTAAATTGAAGTGTAAAACGGCATCTAAAGGATCGATTCAATCACTGGGCAGATTAGCAACCAGAAGACAGTCCCGTGGATCCATATAAAAGCCATGATCCTAGAGCTTCCGGCACTTGGCAAGAGATCTCAGAAGAGTCGAGGCTGCTGCAGGCGCGCAGACAGGAGGCGTAGGTAAGTGAACCAGGGAGGAAGGTGGGTTAGCGAGCCTGTGTGTTTGGATGCAGACAGAAAGAGGCTGCTGCAGGATTTATCTGGGCACTGAGTACCTGCAACTCCGCACTAGGAGGCTGAGGCAGGAGCATGCCTTGCTGAGTTCCCTTGCTATGCTAAACAGGGCGTCCTGGTGAGGCTGAAACGGAAAATCAGTAGCCATCTTGAGAGACGCTTCCGGCCACCCCTCCCCCCTCCACTACCCGACACCACCCACACACTCCACCCCCTAACCAACCCACCCCCCACTCCCCACCCCCCCTCAGCTCCCACTCCCTCCCACCCCCAGCCCACAGCCCCCTAACCCCCGCCCCGCCCACACACACACACCTCCTTAAAGGTATTTAATGACCAGCAGTTTTAGAACTGACCAGAAGTTGAACTTATGGGAAGAAAAGGCTGAAACAATAAATATCTATATCCTAGGCTCCGCAAAACAAGATTTGGGGAGTAATGGGCTCCACTGACCAGAAGCTGACCTCAGAGGAGAGTAGGACTGGAACAAAAAATCTGTCTCTGACAGGAAAAGGGACTTCCCATGTAGCCCAGGCCGGTCTAGAACGCTCAGACCTTTCAGTCTCTGCCTCCAGGGTGCTGGGATTGTAGGCATATACACCATAATGCCCAGCCTGCAATTAACTGTGTTATTATATTAAAATTATCATTTTTATTATTAAAATAATTAGTCCAGGCACTAGGCACACAGAGAAAGGCAGATCTCTGAGTTGGAGTCCAGCCAGGGCTCCACAGAGAGACCCTGTCTCAAGAACCATTTTGTGTGCTGTGGCCATAGCTCAGCAGTTAAGAGCATCCACTGCTCTTCTAGAGAACTCAGATTTCATTTCTAGTGCCCAGAGAGACTCACAATTGCGTACAACTCCAAGGCCTCCAAGTCCTGTGCTCTAGGCACAAATGTGGTCCAGAGACTAACATGCATATAACATCCTTACACATAAAATTTAAAGTTATTAATTTTCTTTTTTCTTTTGGCCCAGCATAATGGTGCACAACTTTAACCCCAGCACTCTGGATTCGAATGCATGTGAATCTCTGATTTTCCGGGCTAGCCTCCTCTATCCAGAGAACATGCGGGCCTCATTTTTCACTGTGTCCAGTCACCACCCATGTTTTATTGTTCCTTGATTTGTTTTGACTTGTTTCTTTTTGTAGCTCTGGCTGTCCTGGAACTGGATCTGTAGACCAGACTGGCCTCAAACTGGGATTAAAGGTGTGCACCACCAAACTGGCTACAAATATTTTCTCTCAAACTTTTGTACTGAATTTTCTAATGACTGTTTTGAGCCATAAATACTTAGTCATTTAGACCTGATATATGTAATTAAAAATTATTAACATATAAATGATACACAGTAATAGGTTTTAAATTTAGCCTATTTATTTAATAATTGTGGGCTTTTTTGCTTGTTTCGGTGGGGTTTTTGTTTGTTTGGTGTTTTTTTTTTTTTCTTTGAGATTTAGCGTTTCTGTCTCCGGATTGCTCTGGAACACAGTAGTAGACCAGGCTGGCTCACAGAGATCTGCCTGTCTCTGCCTCCCTGGGATTAAAGGTGTGGGTCGCCACACCCAGCAGCAATCCTGTGTGCTTGTGAATGTGTACTCTGGGAACTGAACTCTTATCTAAAGGAGCAGCGAGGGTTCCTTACCAACTCTACCTCTCCCAACTTTTTGGCTTTCTTTTTTAGACAGGGTCTCACTGCATAGCTCTGGCTGCTCTGGGACTGACAGATCTGCCTGCCTCCATCTCCTGAGTCCTAGGACTAAAGGTGTGGTGGATCACACCTTTAATAGTCCTGGCTGTCCAGGAACCTGCTGGGTAGCACAAGCAGGCCTTGAACTCAGAGATCTGCCTGTCTCTGCCTCTGGGCTGAGGGATTAAAGGTGAGCAAGCACTGCTGGGATTGTTCTTTGGCTTTGAAGGTGAGTCTCTTGTAGGCCTCACTCGCTTTTAGACTTGGTGCCTACTATTAACCTGGGTTGGTTTCGAAATTATGACATGCATCTGGCTCCCACCTCTGAGGTTACAGATATGGTCCATGATACACAGCGAGAAGAGAGTAATTGATTTTTTTTTAAATTATCTTGGGATATGGGGTGGGCACCAGTGCTCATACCTGGAGGCCAGAGGACAGCTTGTCAGAGCTGAGACGATCATTTCACCCTATAGGTCCAGGGAATTTAGGGGGGGGAGTCATTGGGCTTGGCTAGAGACACCTGTACCCCTGAGCCATCTGACAGATCCATAGGGTGGATTAATTTCTGCTTTACTAAACAGTATCAGTGTGTTTGGGGAGGCTATATTATAAGGAATGATGGCATTTAGGAGGCAGCAGAGTTATGCTGATCTGGCTCCTTCTTGCCTCCCAGGCTTCTGGACCGACACCGAGCCCATCCCTGTGGCTAAAGAAGGAGGTCTGTTGAGACCGGAGTCATTTTATAGAACTCCAACTTGTCAGAGACCAAGGGAATATTCCCAGCAGACATGGCTATCAACACGACTCGAGACAGCCTCCCCTCAGAGCAGACACCATCACCTACATCCCAGGACTGGAATTCAGAAAAAGAAGACTACAACCCTGAGGTCTGGCACTTGAAGTTCAGAGCTTTCAGCCCCTCAGAGCAGTCGGACCCCATCCAGGATCTGAAGAGGATCTCTGAGCTGTGCTATCAGTGGCTGAGACCAGACCTGAATAGCAAGGAGGAGATCCTGGATCAGCTGGTGTTGGAGCAGTTCATGATCTCCATGCCTCCAGAACTGCAGGCCTTAGTGAAGGAGAGCGGAGTGAAGAGCTGCCAAGAGTTAGAGAAGATGCTGAGGGATGGCGGGGAACCTCAACATTGGGTAAGCAGAGCCTTAGCTGTGGGCTGAGGGAAAGGACAGCCTTGGGGCTGTGGGGACCTGGAGGGAGAACCCACTGAGGGTCCTGCCCTTAGTCAGTGGTTCCTAAGTGGAGCGTTTGGCTTCCCAAGTGATAAATGGTAATGTATGGGGACCTTTATGGGCTTGTTTTGTCTTTGTGAATGTGGCCCAGACAATTGGTTTAGAAGCCAAGGAATTGTGCAGATCAGAAACACTGTAAGCTAACAGGCTCATCTTGAGTCAGTGCAGAAGCCTTGTTTTTTTATTTTTGTTTCCTTTTGTCTGCTTTTTCTCCCTTTGAATCTGTGTCTGGTGCTCTTGTAGGCCAGAAGAGGACATCTGATCCCCTAGGAGCTGGAGATGCAGACAGTTCTGAGCCACCACCTTGTGGGTGCTGGGGATTGAACCTGAGCCCTCTGGAAGAGCAGTCAGTGCTCTTAATCTCTGAACCATCTTTCCAGCCCCCACCTCACTCCTTGTTTTTTGTGACAGAGTCTAAAGTAGCCCAGACAGAGTCTAACGTAACCTTACGGACTAACGTAACGTAAGGTCCTCAGTTCACTGTGTCCCTGAGTATGACCTTGCGGGCCAATATGTGTCCAGAAGGACAGATTTGCAAATAAGTCAAACTGGGCTGCTGAATCAGCCCAGGAACAGTGCTGTGGGAGGTACATCCAGGCTCTCACCCAGGGTCTCATCCAGTTCCCTTTTCCCCCATAGTCCATAATCCACTCCCAAGGACAGTTATACCTCCTTCAGGATCCCAATTGTCGAGAAGGTAGATGCCAAGGAGGATGAAAAGGATGTTGTGGAATTGTCCCAGGAGCCTCTGAACAGAGACAAGCCCAACTCAGTGCTGCAGATCTCGACAGAGACTGAAGAACCATCCACCAGGCAGGTGAGTGTGTGACAGTATCTCTGGGGGGATTTGGGAGAAGAACTAGAAGACCAGAGTTTGAGAGATCTGGTTAGGGTTGGGGTTTGACACAGAGTTGGATGTACAGCTCCTGACTTGACATTGTTGTGCAGAATGAAGGTCCACCTGCCTGTCTGCATTCAAGCTGAGCACTGAGTATGGAGAAAGCCTCTCTGGTGACACTTGGGATCGCTATCAACCCATGAGTATAGCAGAATATCGTTAGGCATGATTACATTGACATTTTCTTCTTCAGTCATGTTGGCTGCAGGCTTCATGAGACTGACTAGGCCCTCTGCATGTATGTGACAGTTATGTAGCTTGGTTTTCGTGTGCAGTGGGGGCAGGGGCTGTCTCTGACTCTTTTACTGACATTTGGGAAGCTATTGCTCCTAATGGGTTGCCTTGCCCAGCCTGAATACATGGAGAGGTGCTTAGTCAAGGTGATATTGCATGCTTTGTCCATATCCATGGGAGGTCTGCCCTTTCTTAATAAAGGGGAGGAGGAGTCGGGGGAGATAGGAAAGGAGGGAGGGAAAACTCTTGTGGAGATACAAATAGATAGATAGATAAATAAATAAATAAATAAATAAATAAATAAATAAATAAATAAATAAATAAATAAATAAATAAAATACTTTTTAAAAGGAGAGGAGGAAGGAAGGATCAGGTAGGGTAGTGCAGGCCTTTAGTCCTAGCTCTGAGGAGGCAGAATCTGACACAGAATCTGAGTTTAGGCCAGCTAAGTCTACTTAGTGAGACCCTCTCTCCAAGAATAAATGTGTGAGTCCACGATCCAAATAAAACTGAAAAAAAAAACAAAAAAAAAAACACAATGTTACCCTGGACTTGAAGCCATTCAGAGAGCTAAGGTATCAGGTGTCAGGCTAGTCTGGGCTACACACCATTTTGATCAGGGACAGCCTGGGCAAATAGGCAAGAATTTAAACTGAAACTATTTTAAAGGCCAACAAAGAGGGCAGAGGTAGAACACAGGCCTAGGGTCCACCAGTGAGGAGAGGGGCCTGTGGCTCAGCCACAGAGTGCTTGCTGCACAAAGCCCTAGCACCATATACAAGAGAAGCAGAAAAAAACCGAGTGGGATAACCACATCTGACTGGGTGTGAGCAAAGGAAGCCACAGTGACGGGAAGGAATGGGGTCTGTCCTCCTGCAGAGTCTCTCAGGTCCAGAGTGAGACCAGAAGCCATCAGGAAAGTTTCTTTTCACTGTCCTCTCTTCCCGCTAACCTCTCCCAGACCCATACCACTTCCCCAATTCCCAAACTTCTGGTCCTCTTAAAAATACCCTGTCCTGCCCCTAACTCTGGTTTGTGGGGTCCATAAGGGCCCTGGGTGTGGAGGCACTCACCAGAGCAGTGTCCACCTAGCTGGGGCCACAAAAAACCACCTGTCCCTCCCCAGAAGCCATCCATGTACATAGCTCCTTGGTGAGGGTGGGGACCCCTGATTGCCTCTCCCTCCAGGCTGCAATGGTGTCTGGCTGGACACTGAAGGAGTCTGCAGGCATCTCCAGCTGTGTGAGCTCATGAATGCAGGGGTGTCCTCTCTGAAGCCCTCTGCCCTGTTCTCGGCCTCCCCCCCCCCAACTCTGCATCTTAGAATCTTCGTAGATCATATTATCTTTAGACGGTGTCTCTCTAAATAGCCCTGGATGACCCGGAACTGTGTAGACCAGGCTGGTCTCCAAATCAGACATCTGCTTCACAAGCCCTGGCATGGAAAATGTTCATGACCACACGGGCTGCTAAGAGTTTAAGTGTGCAGTCACTGTCACTTGGGAGTCCACAATATGTAGCAGAGGAGACCTCCTCCCCATCAGAAATAATCATTCGACTCCCATTTATTTTAAAGTTACCCTATTGTTGTAGGTATCGGCATTTTGCTTGTGTGTATCTGACACCCCATGTGTGCCTGGTGCCTGAAGTGAAAAGGCGTCAGACCCCCCCCATCACCTGAGGAACTGGGGTTACCGATGGCTGTGAGCCTCCTTGTGGGTGCTGAGACTCAAACCCAGGTCCTCTGCAAGAGCAGCTGGTGTTCTTAACCTCTGAGCAGTCTTTCCTCTAGCCTCATTGGCCCCAAATCTTAATAGCACCAAGGTTGAGAGGCATTTTGCTTGTAGAGTTGAGGGCAGAGAAGATCGTGAATAGAGAATTAAAATAGCAACCAATATGAGGTGCAGAGATGTGGTGGCTTCACGTTCATGACCGAGTTACAAGTAAGAGGAGAGTATTGGTTTATGTGGGGTATGGGAGTAGGTCATGGAAGTGTGAACATTCCTACAACTCAGAGAAATTGAGTGGGCCACAGGAAGTAGAGACAGATGTCTATGTTCTACCTCTCCATTGAACGAACATGCACCCATAATTTTTCTCTGTCCCCTGTCAAGACACAGGAAGTTTTGCTGGATACACTTCCTGAGAGCAAAGAACAGGAGGACCCAAGACCCAAGCAGAGCCCGGGGAATGACTCGGTGCAGGAGAGGGATGAGTCCTCTGTGTTGACCCCTCAGGACCCTCAGTCCACACACGGTTCTGGTGAGTTCCAGGTGGGAACTGACTGGGGACTTACTCCTTGCCCAGCCCTCCCTTCCTGTGGGAGGAAGCTGACCACCCCCTCCCACCCCCTCTGTCACTAGCCTTCCAGAGCATTCTAAAGGCTGAGCTCTCAGGGTTGAGATGTAGATGGGATGTCCCCAGCCAACACCAGAGTTTAGTTCTAAAGAGTCTGGTATGAT